TGATATTACCACACTATACCATATGGTATTGGGTGGTAACGAAATATATATTGATATTACCACACTATACCATATGGTATTGGGTGGTAACGAATTATATATTCATGTGGCAAATATTACCATACCACATGGTATGCTATTGTTTAATACCAATCAATACCATATGGTACAGTCAATACCATATGGTATGACTGGTAATAACTGACAAATTTTTTTGTGTCCAAAAAATATCAAAGTGGATATCATTTTGAAGAGCACAATTAATCTGATCTAACTGTGCAAAAAAAATTAAATTTCGACTTAAAACGAGTGAGAAATCGTCCGTCAAAGATTAAGAGAAGGAAAATTAAATGTTTTGCCAGGAGAGAGAAGGAGGGGCTGATAGGCTCCGGTCAAAAGTGAGCATCAATAATAAATAGGAGTAAGTGCAATTTTACCGTACTACCCTTTTCACATTTAATTTAAATAAAAAAGTGACTGACACGTGGGGACCAGGGAAGGGGTTACTGATGGGTTACTGACCCATCAGCTACTGACAAGATCCGGACCCCTCAAGACCTACTTAATTTTGTTTTTCCTGCTCTCCCCGCAAAGCATGGAAGGCCATTTTAGACTTTTTAATCCCACTTTTCGGTGCATGAGCTACTATTCTCTTTTTTTAACTACATGAGCTACTATTCTATGGGCATATATCACTTGCACCTTTTCATTTATTATTCTCCCGTAGTCGACTAGAGTTTTAGAATTTAGAGTTACAAATAAATATAAAGATTAGTCCATCAACATGCATGCAATCATATCACATGAACAAAGTTTCATATGTTTCGATTTAACCAGGGGCGGATGGAGAGGTGTTTGAACCATCTAACTCCGGTGTGAACAATGATATTTGTTGGTGTGGGGTTGACTCACGATCCGTTCGTCTGATCTCGTCGGGAGGGAGAGAACCTGTGAAAGAGTCGGGGATGCCCCCCGAATTAAGCTCCGACGATCAAGTTAGTGTAAGTTTATGGAGAGAGTTGAGAGAATCGATAGAGAGATGAAGTGTAGAGAGATAGTGGAAAGTGGAAAGTGGGGAGAGAGGGCAGAAGTCCCTCTTCTTTGGAGGGCTTCAAGCCCTTATATACCTGTAGCGTGTACCGAGTGTTGCCATCGCCGATTGTGCGCTCTCCTACTTAGTCTGTGCGCCAAGTATTTAGTAACACCCCCAACAAGAGGGTTAGAGGGAGGAACCCGGGACCTACCCTGACTCGAGAGATAATATGGTAGATTAGATATAATAATTAATCGGGTATGAAAAAGACCACGTACTAATTTAATATCTACAACAAATTTCTATCAAATTATAGCTAATATGTAAAAATAATTTTATTTCAATCAGAGATAGTGAAAGTGTAACGGGTGGCTACGAAGGATGAAAATGAGTAAATTAGTATAATAGTTAATTGAGAATAAAATTTAGGGCACTTCTAATTGAGAATGGTTGACCGACAAATCATGTGTTCGAATCTTGGCGACCCATTTGTTAAGCACAAAATATTCGAATTTGTGAAAACTTTAAACACGTATAAGTTGGTTTTGGTTAGTGGGGAAGTGTTAGTAAATACTAAATAATATAAATTTCATTATTAAATTTTCCCAACAATACGAGTTATTAATACTTGATGGTTTTGACAAAGAACTCCATTCAAAAGCAAATGTCTAACTAAATCATGAATAATGGTTTGATACATATAGAGTGATATTCTTGATAGTTTCGATATATATTTAATTTACCAAGTTTTTCTAATTACAAAATTATATCATGAATGATTTAAAAAGCTAACAAAATTATTTTATCATATGTATTTTTTTCTAAATGGACTCATACTTTACAAAATCCTGGTTATGCCACTGAATTTAATAATTCACAAATATGGTCATTTATGCAAAAGTAACCAAATATCTGTTTGAATATAATGATTGATCAAGATACAAATCCTAATTAGTTTTTTTAGGCTAATTGTTATTTTATCCAATGCTAAGTCGACAAATTTAAGAATCTTTTGTGGTGCTATGCATTGCAGAATATAGAACCTGTCAAAGAAAATGGAAGAAGACTTGGATGAGTTGTTTTGTGAGAATTGACTAGCAACATCAAACTTTATAGTTGTTAGATGATAATTTAGTCAATTTAAGAATCATCATCACTAAATCTTATATGTTCTTCTAAATAATGAATTTCAATTATTAACATTTTTATATTTAAGACCCAACTTGAATGATAGATACTACCAAGCAATTACTAACGCATTTCATATTTAAGTTCCAACTTGAGTTTTGGATACTACAAAATATGATTTTATTGTCTTTTGGTCATCAAGAATCCAAATTTTTAGAGTTAATTATGAAAAGCTACTAAAAATAATTGAAGAATGATACCTCCTCTCACTAATGTCTCATTAAATGAAGGAATGTAGTATTTTAAAAAAAAAATGAGCTGAGGTAGAAGTTTCAAGTTTAGTGATTACAACATCACAAATCCCATAACTCGGTTAACAGTTTCGAAGATAATCAATGATGGAAAAAATTAACCTCCAACAACATTTGTGACTAAAATTATGTAAGTTGTCATGAAAATTACATATCATGTATAATCATGCTTTGTGTTGGAATTTGCTTCGCAAAAAATACAAAAGGTCGAAGTGTTTATTGATGATGAAGATAGTGGAGTTAAAAATGAAAATTGTTGATGAATAAACCGATTACATTGGAGTACCTATAATATTGTGACATTGAGTTTAATATGAGCTAATATACTCTAGCATAAGTCTTACCTTTTGAATTTCAACAAGAATCAACATAAAAGGCAAATGTTACCATTATTTGTTCATTCACACGACGTTGACATATAAGTATGACAAGAATATAAGAGGAGATTAATGAAATTTAAACTTCAAACCTTTGTTAATAACGACTATCGTATTGCAACCGGCCAACGGGCCGGGGTACAATCTAGTTATGCTAATAAATGTGACATAGATGCTTAATTGGATTGTTCAAAACCCAATATTAAATTTCGCCCAGAAAAACAATAAATGAAATGAAACTTGAACAACTTAGAGTATGCCTAAGTTGTTCGGACATTGAATAAAATTTGAACAGTTTACGGTAAACTATTTTGAGACTGAGTCTCTTTTTCATTTTGCATGAAAATATAGTATAATAGTACGATTAGTGTTGTTATAATGCTAATCCAGTAATACTAAATTGTGTTTCGTGATAGTTGCACATAATAATTGGTAAGTAATTATTATAGGTTGTTTGAGTTTAATGAAATTTTCATTTAACCAATAACCATAAAAAATCATTGATAAAGAGATTAAAACTTACATCCTCCTATTAATTTAATCACACCATAATAACATTGATATTTTATAATTATACTATCTGTTTTCTTGGCTAATCTTTGTCAAGATTTTAGATAGGATAGAAATAAAAGATTAAGGGTTATCTCTCCATGGATCTTAATTTTGCGGTCTAATCCTTTTTTAGGATATGGACACTAATCATGATGGGAGTGTCCTCCAACAAGTATTCAACAATGAAACCAAATATGAAAATAATGTACATATATCCGTTTCAAGTATGTATTAACAAGTTGAAACAATAAAACCGCTCTGGTTACAATTCGAATGATTGACTATTACTTAATTGTCAAACTATTATATCCTTATTCAGTACATTACCGAAGGGTATTTTTGTAGTCAATATGCTGAATTCTTATATAATTTATTTTTCCTCATATATACCCTTATACTTGAGAAATGAGTTTTATATTTTAATTGTTCATTATAATTTAGTTATTTATTGGTTTCATTCATAGCTTTACCAAATTAAATGAGATAACTTAAATAGTATCTTTTTTTTATGTTTAAAAAAAATAGTATCTAAAATCATACCTAAATAAAATATATCATACCTACTTTGTCAAAATAAAATAAAAATATACAATAGCTACACAATACTCCACTCACAAACTACATCGCCCATCGGGCGGGCCACTAATCTAGTATGTTATTACTTATATGTTAGATGAGATTTGATATAATTTATCAGGATAAGTGCAATATAATGACTTTTTCATATTTTCGGACTGAAACGGGCTAAAACAGGTGACCCATTAACAGGGGCGGAGGTAGCATGTAAATAGGGTGTTCCATGGCACACCCTTGGATTGGGACTAGAACATAAAAAAAATAGGGGTATTAGTTTATGCTATAATTCGGATTTGAACATGGAACCCCCATATTATTAGCTTTGTCATCTTCCATTAAACTACAACTACTTATGTGATACATCAATATGTTTTATTATATATATATATATATATATATATATAATTAATTTATGTTTGTAAATAATAAGTAAATTAAAAAAAAGACACAATTGTATCCTTATTCAAGCAGTAATCGGAACGTTAGCCCTAACAAGGAAGACTTCTCCCAGTCCCACCTTTCATCTTCCTTCGTTCTTCTTTTTCTTTCGACAGTGAACTACGTGAAAAACACTCTTCGAAGTGGAATGAGTGACGATATCATGAATGATTTTTTGGTAGGATACATTGAGAGTGACATTCTTGATAGTCTGGATGATGAATGTATTTTACAGAGTTTTCAAACTATGAGAATTCGTCATGGGTTACTATAAAAAAATTGATAGTCACTTTAATTTTTTTAAGTTGGCACCCCCTTACCCAAAATCCTGGCTACGCCACTGCCCATTAACCCTTGATCCACTAGTTCAATTGAGTCCGGATCAACCCGCGAATTGACAACCTTAGTACGAGCAAAATGTGGGACAGGTAACCACCCAATTTCCACCCCTAACCCTAGGTGGTATTAAAAATGGTAGAAAGAAAAACAAAATATTGAAGACGACATCGTGAAGAAGTTTTAAGAAGCGCAAGGCCCCATAACATTAAGAGTCGAACTGTCTATTCGTTTCTTTTCTTGCCGTCCTCTTCACTCATTACAGCCACACCACTCCCCCATCTCCCTCAAATTTCAAATTCTCGCCCGATTCCGCCAAATCTCCGTTGAAAAGGGAATTCTAGAGCAGGCAGGCAGGCAGCATGGCGATGGAGGCTAATAATAAGTCATTCACATGGAAGATCTCGCCTCTGTCAAAGTCGGGATTAGGAATGCGCAAGTCTGAAACGTTTCATGCCGGCGGCTGCCAATGGTACCCTGCTATCATCATGTTATTCGTTGCTAAAAATAATGTTGGTATATGTTGGAGTTGCAGATGGATATATAGATGTATTGAATGCCGGCGTTTGTTTGTTTTCTAAATATAGTTATATTGTTCTTGCTCGAACAGGGTCATTGTGGCTTATATACGCGAAGATCCCTTGGTTAGAGATGATTGGGTCATCTCTTTATTTCTGCGTTGCTGTTCCGACATGGGACGAAAACTATATGATGATGGTGGTCGTCGGGACAGATTTGCCAAATACGTGTTCACTGTTTCCACCCCGGGAGGAGGTGCAAACGACTCCTTAAACCTAATAGGTTTGTACATTTTGATCTTTCTTCTAGCTTCTTATGATCATCGAATGAACGAATGCTCAATCAATTGAGTAGGCCCACCTTTAAGAATGGGATTGGCCGTATGCAGTCCTTCAAGTGACTTTCCCTCCTGTTCTCATTTTGCTGAGTCCAACGTGCACATTAAAACATCTATCGAACTCGATCGATCTTGACCATTTCTGATACTACAGCCACTTTTATGATTAACCTCTCGCAGGAGAGGGCAAACGGCATTTCACTGTAGGCGGGACAGGCTGGGGATTCAAAGATTGTATCAAACTGTTTAGCTGTCCCGAATCTCCCTATATTGGGGATGATGCTCTCGTAGTCCATGCGCATGTTTCTACAGTTAAGTCCTGCCTCACCAATTCATTCACCCAACTCCCTCTCTCCTTTTAACTCAAACAGAGATGGTCTTTGTTGATTTACTAGTTGGGATGCTTGCAGGGACCAGCAACACCGGATTCTGGTTATGACACTGATTATGACGACCAGGAGCAAGACTCGTCGTGGGATGCTGACACTCATCAGGACGAAGACACATCATCGGATTCTGATTACTACAACCAGGAAGGAGACTCCTCGTTGTCGTCGGGTGCTGACACTGATCAGGAAGAAGACGCATTGGATGATGATGATGCTACTGCTGATGAGTCCGAGCATATTGAGCCTGATGACCAACCCAACGGAGCCTCGATCGAGAAATTGGCAAATCATGAGTGCCTCTCAGGACAGACACTTGCAGCAGCTTGGGAGGCATATGGAGGGGTTCAGACTACCCAACTGTCAACTCACCAGGTAATATTATATACATGTGCCCATTTGTTTTTGGTCAATCAGTATATGGCTTCAGGGGATAGATGCAATAAGTATCCTTATTGTTTTATGCAACTGCTATATCATAGCCAATTGTGAGCCAGAATCCTAACTTACATTTACCTTCTCTTACCCTATATTTATATATAACTCAGGTTGGTTGCCCGTACCCCGACCCTCTGTCGTCCAAGTCAGGAATGAGCTCATGCAACCTGATAGCAGAGCTATCGACAATGCTCACCCTGAATACCAAATCCCTTGCATCAGGCAATGGCTCTAGTACCTTACTACTGCAACAGCATAAAGAAACAATGGCTAGATACCTGAACATGCCACTTGAAGCCATCCACAAAACGGATTCGTTTGACAATGTCGAGCTGCTTGCTAAGCTGATTGCTGATCACCCGTCCGCTGAGGTTGATAAGGAGATTCTCAAGGGTTTATTGTCAGAGCTAAAAGCGGGGATCCCCAGCACCATGTCCGTAATCGAATCTTCCCGTGTCACTGAAGCTTCCATGGGGTGGAAGGAGGAGGATCTGGAGGCGAGGCTGTTTCACAGGCACAGGCAACTTGGATGCTTGAAGGTCGAAGTTTCTAGACTTGAGGAGGAAGAAAAGAAGCTGGAGGGTGATATTCAGCAGCTGATTGCTCGTAAGGCCAGAGTTGGGGTTCTGAAGAAATCAACGGCTGATGAGTTGGAGAAAGCCAGCCTGGAGGCAACCAAGGAAATGGAAGAAATGAAGGAGACAAGTAGCAAAAGGAAGCGGGCTTGCGTGGACAAGCTGGCTGCCGAGGATGAGCTGTGTCGGCTCAAAAGAAGTTGGAAAGCTTTGAAGCAGACGTTGAAGCTGTGATCGGTGGAGAGAGATCCGTCACTGCTGGGCGCCCGCAGTTAGCTGTAAACTGAAGATCAGAAGATGCAAGCTAGGTAGATGAAACTTGAAAGTATTATCTATATATAGACGTTAGTGCAAGTTGGGGGGGAGTTCTTTGCGGAAGGAAATGTGATGCCAAAAACAGGTTGTTGCATGGGTTTTGGGGTAAATTACAAGATTGGTCACTAGAAATGCTAAAAAGTTCACATTTGGTCACTAAAAGTATTTTATTCCATTTATGATCACTGAAAGTAGTTAAACGTTTCATGGTTGATCACTCTCCGTTAGTCTCTATTAACACCGTCAGTGTTTTGCTGACATGACTAACAAAAGTGATGACTCACCAAATTTTAACCTACAAAAATTAAAACTAACCAATTACCCAACCCAATTTAAACCCTTACAAATTATAGCCCCGACCCGCCTCATCTCTCTTCCCTACACCTCTTGAGTCCTAACCCAACCCAATTTATTGTTGCTTTTCTCCTTCCTTCTTCAACCTCGCATCGCCGACGATCCTTTTTCCATCCCTAAAAAATGCAATTTCAAAATCAAAATCGATTATCATTCCATCCATCCCAATCATAACTCTAAGATTCCCTCGCATATTTGAAACCTTGAAAATACCATTTGGAATCTGAAATCGGCCCTATAAAATCCAAAAAACACAATGGCAAACCCATAAATTGAAATTGGAGAGGGGAAATCGATGGTGACGAATTTTCTTCAAGAATTCATCGAGAGAGGAAATTTGGGATTAGCAGTTGCGGGTGGATCTGCTGTCAGAGTGAGAGAAACACGGGAGGGCTTCGTTGGAGGAGCAACTCCAACTGTATCTTTCTCATTTCAAAGAAGAGCGGAGATGGCCATTGAAGAATGGTGAAGAAATTTGTGAGCGAGATCCCGTGGAGTCCTCTTGCTCTGTTTATGGTGTCGGTTCATCGTACAACTCTGGTTTGGGGGTAGCCTCGAGATCAGAAACTTCCACTGGCTGCAGCCGGTGCCCCATTTAAAGCTTCAATTCCCCTCTTTATCATCGCACGAAGAGGCTGAGTCGCAATTACAATTCGATCGTAGTATTAGAGCACCTTCATGGAAGAGTTCTTGAGCCAAGCTCTTCGGTGGGGATTTTTTCACAGTAGAGAGAGACAAAGATTGGAGAAGAAGGGCAAAGGGGAATCTGGTGGGCCATTGGCGCTAAGGGTGAAACTTTTTGGTTAGGGCGGGTAGGTAGGGTCATCTCACATGTTGGGTTAGGATTTATGAGGTGGCGGGTTAAGATCTGACGTGGCTGGTCGAGTTTCATTTTTTTTAGGTTAAAATTTGGTGACTCATTACTTCTGCTAGCCACGTCAGCAAAAAACTGACGGTGTTAACGGAGAGTGACCAAACGTGAAACGTATAACACTTTTAGTGATCATGAATTGAATAAAATGCTTTTAGTAGGGTTGCTAAGGAGCCAAGCTACTCGCGAGCAACTCGAGGCTCAGTTCGATAAAAACTCCTTCGACACTCGGCTCGATTCTTAATGAGCTGGCTCGTGAGCCGGCTCATTTACTTACCACTGATCAATCGATCATATAGCATCCCATCCTCTTACGACAAGCAGGCCTCATTGGACGGGTGGCCTGGACACTAAAGGGTCTACACAAACACTCAATCACCTGCTCATGCTATGTAAATGGCATGGATACAGCCACCACATGAGTGTGGCTTATCAGTTATGATCAGGTTCTCACATCACAAATCTAACTAAAACTTGTCACTTCGACCTCGTAATTTTTTTTAGCCATGAGTGGCCTATTTTCACTTTTTCTCTCTTTTTTAACTATTATTTATATAATTAATATAGTAAGGAGTGATAGACGTCACTGATTTCCACACCCTTTGGCAACTACCAATGTGCCAAAGGTATACACCCACTGGCAAATCCATGAATCAAACCAGACCAACCATCCATACACTACATGCCTTCCCTCCTTAAGGAAAGACCATTCCTTTGGTGTTGGTTTCGAATTTTCCAACTTAACAACGGATGGTACCTGATCAACTTGTCTTGTCTTGGCAGGCTTGCAAGGGGTCTCATGCTCCTTTGGCTTAGCCACCTTACAAGACATGTTGGGTTGTTGATGATGAATCTGATGTGTTTGTCTTGTTTCTGGTGGTACTCTAGGTACTCTCAACTCATTGGGCTCATGAAAGAGACCACGGGTTTTCATCTTCCTTGTTTCTCCCAGCCATGCTTAATCATCCCATATAGTTGGGACGAGGAGTTTTTGGACTCAACAAGTCGATGACTACCCTGGTGGCCAACCTGATCCTGTTCAACCCTTACGGCTTGCTGACTTCTACATGTAGCACATAACCTCTGGCTCTTTGTAGGACCATTTTTGGTTTTTGTATGCCAGGATGTCTTGTCCATGCCCCTGCCATTCATATTTGGCATGCCATGAGGGTTGTTAAGCATGGACCTGCTTCTTTGTCCATCTATTAACACACTCTCATACTTAGAAATTTTTTGAGTGGCTTGGGTGTGCTGCACACTCATATAATTTTCTCCCACTTGTTTCTTCATGGTCGGTGACATGCCCCCCGTCTAGTGGTTGGAGACATGTCCCCCATACCATTATTCATGATTGTTGACGTGCCCCCCTTTCCGAACTTAGCCATATTAGTATGCTTACTAAAAGCATGTGTGGCTTCATGTTGTGGCTTATTGGGCACACCTATCAACCTACTAGTGGTTATTGATGACATGCCCCCCATGTCATCCTTAGCTACACTATCATGCTTACTATAAGCATGTGTGGCTTGAGTTTGTTGTTGTTTCTTGGGCACGTCTATCTGTCTATTGTTTGTGGTTGGTGACATGCCCCCTTGTCGACCATTCATGGGTGGCATGCTACAAGGAGCCTTGCCTTCTTGTGCACTTTTTGACACGTTGTCAAAGTTATGAAAATCATGGGTGTCATGGGTGTCCAACACCCGCTTAGACTTGCCACTCACTCCATTCATCATGTTTGATGACATGCCCCCCTGTCCACTGCATGGAGATGGAGACATGTCCCCCTTGCTCACCTTAGCCACGCTAACATTCTTATCAGCAGCACATGTGGTTTGGGATTGTAGTGGCTTCTTGGACACAACTGTCAACCCAATGCTTGTGGTTGATAACATGTCCCTCATGTAATCCATAGACGATAAATATGGTATTCTGTTGGACACACCCTTTTGTTCGATTTTCTTGACATCAATGTGTCCCCCGGCCTGACACTTCACCTTGTTAGGTAGACTTCCATGGCCCTCTGCATGCCCCCCTGGCGATTTGCATCCACCAGGCCGCTCGAGCATAGATGGCATCGAGGTTGGGCAAGCTTGTGGTAGCACATCAACTATTAACCCTCCACCAACTCTCACGTTCAAGCATGGTCTAGCCTCTGAGACAGTTTTATGAGTAACTGTCAGCACAGACGGTTGCTTTACATGAGTGGTGAACGTGGGAGCGAGATTCTCGCCACAACCACCATGTTGAAGAGGTAGTTGAATTTCCATCGGAGACGATGAGTTCTCTGACCGTGGCTGGGCAGTCCGGCCACCGGAGTCTAGATTACTCGTATACCCAGTAGCAATGTTTGACTGTGGATCTACACCATCTTTTGCCAAAACTTTCGATCTCAACACTGTTTTTATCGAAAGTTGACAAAACTCCTTAAAATTATTTTTATGTATCTCGCAAATCTCATCCAGTTGATCCAAACGTCGATTTATGCGAGTATGGAAAAAATCAAGTTGAGATACCATTTGTTTGGTGTATCCCACCATAGCCTCCTCCATTAATTTTATTTCTACCAGCAGTGAATGGTGGAGAGACAAGGTGGTGGCGGTTACACCCAAACATGGCGCCGGTGATGGTAGGCCTCTTACCCCACCATTGTTTCCGGCGTCACTTTTTGCTAATTGACCCAGATCATAACTGGCCACTAGGTCTTTTACAAACCCAGGTGAAAGATCACCTCCTCGTTCTCTCAGTCGTGGAGCCATCAAATCAAACACACAACGTCCCACCAGGTGTGCCAATTTATTTTCCGGCGAGGAAAAACTTGTGTTTGATTTCAATCAATGCACCTTGACTTCTTGAACAACGATTAATAATACGGTTCACACCTCTCCGAACAATGTTCGAACGAGGGTGTTTGATTGATGGTTTCTGGGAACGAGATCTAAATTAAATTACTTCTACTCCTATGGAGGTTCAGTGAGAGCTCCGAAAAACTAAAAACTGATTTGCAGAGAAAAGATAAATTTTGACATTGTGTGTCAAATGGTTGGTTGTGGAACCTTTGCTTCTTCTTCGTTTCTTCTATTTATAGCCACTAGGTGTAACTGCCTTGGTAACCGCCTTGGTAACTGCTAGCTGATCTCTTGCTCCAAATCGCCTCGGGGTCCTTGTCGCCGCCTTGGTGACTAGTTGGTAACCATCGCCTTGAGGCCCTTGTCCCGTCATGGGGTTGGTGGGTACTTGATAGCCTCGATGCCGGGTCGGGTTGGTGTTGAGCCTTGTCGCCTTGTCATAACTGGATGGGGTTGAGGCTCCTGCCTTAGCCTCCATGAACCATGATGAGGTCTTGATCTCACCCTCGACTGCTTGATGACTCCCCGCTCCTGAGTCCGCTACCACCTCATGACACCAAGTCCTTCTCATTAACTTGTTGGTTGTCACCAAGCCGTCTCATCGGCTTGATACCTTCTGGCATGCCACCAAGCCCATGTAATCAACTTGACACCCCTTGCTACCAAGCCAGCCCTGGTGGCTTGGTATCCATACTTAGTTTTTGTAGCCTCATCAAGTTGGTAAATTACACCCTGCCGGCTTGGTACCCCGTTAGGGTGCTACCAAGCCCGTCTTGGGACTTTGTCTCCATATGGCCTCATAAGGGCCATACATGACTGTTTGGTACCTAGTCGGGTGGCCACCTCAGCTAGCCACCATGCCTTCGTCGAATTTCTTGTCTTGTTGGCTTGATACCCTGATGTCTGGCTATCAAGTCCGTCTTGGCCCCCTGTTGCCTGGCCACCAAGTCAGTCTTACCGGCTTGATACCCCCTTAGGGTCATGATACCAAGGGGTATGATACCCTGTCGCTTTGCTTGGCTGCCAAGCCTGTCTTGCCGAACCCGTTGGCTTCATACTTAGCCAAATTCATGCTTTTCATGTCTTGGTACCAAGCCCTGCCTTGCCGGCTTG